TAACCAGTGCCAGGATATGAGCTAGGAGTTGATGAAATGTTGGTTCATCTCCATGGTCTAACATATCTCTACAATAAACCATTCAAAAACATGAATAACGACGTAGTTCATTTTAGCCATAGAGTGACCGTGTGGTCTGGGGATGCTTACAAATGCTTAAAAGTTCTACCTGTGATTAAGAGAATTAATTCTGGTCGGCAGCTAATTTATGTAACAAGTTTATCGATACCTGCACAAAAAAGTATAACAACTTCTGTGTTGTGATGGTTTGTACCTCGAACGAGACGGCGGATGGAGCTACGGAGGCTAAATGTGTTCCGCATTTGTGGCACGGCAAGGCGTGCCGTCCCTTAGTGTTGATGCTGTGTGTTACTGATTGAGGTTAGGTTGCAAACATTGAGTATTGTTGTGATCAACTTTTGTTAACCAAGGTCGGCACCTGCTGACAGAGTTAGCCAATTGCGTTGAGTTCTTTTGAGAGATAATAAAAAAAAAACAATAATCATCCAAATCAAAAATCAGCACATAACAGGCGGTTTGGGAATTTGTTCAGTTTTCCTTGTATGCCATTCCCACGGATTGGCACAGTCGAACCTGACGAGTGAAAAGTCAATCCAACTCTAATATATTTAGTATATAACTGTCACTAAAAACATATTTATGGTTTTCCAGCCGTGTTTTTAATAAAATAAAAAGGTAAATAATAAAAGGGACCCTTCCGTCTAAGTACGGTCGTGCACAGATATTAGCCTAATTGTTGTGATAAACTTATTAAATAGTTCTGTTCAAATTTACCGCTGGTGTGTTTTCATATCATATGCGCGCTGGGCTTTTCTCTTCTGGTTATCTTACCAAATCTCGCCGTCCCAGCTGTAGGCGAGTGAAGTTTCCCTGGTGTAACTAGACGCAAGAAGGAGTGAGCTGGTGAATCGACCACCAAATCGACGTCAGGTTGTACCACTCCTTTCTTTTTTTTTCATCGTCTTTGCAGCAATTTTAAACCCCTAGTGAAAGTATTCATAAATCACCCCAAAGAGCTTTCTTTCTCGCCCCAGTTGTCTGTGTTTCAGGTTGATGCCACGATTCCAGGCAAGACGCATCGCTGAGTTCTCACTAGTTATCGGACTTCAAGGACCAAATATATCAAACCAGCTCTAGTAAAATCAACAATTCACTCCTACCGCGGCGCAACGCCTCATGATCTGTTTGAAATAGTTTTACAATACAGACCAAAGCGCCTAAATACAGTAACAATATTTGCTGGATACAATGACAACAGGCTGCATCCACAAGAATTAGAACAGCAGTGGAAAAACTTGATTAACCTCGTCACTAACAAGTTTCAGTTCAAGACACTGATCATCCCCAAAACAATTCAGAACTGTAATAATTCCAAAGTAAACCGCAAAATTTATATTCATAATCAAGTGCTGTTTAAATTGATAAATAGATTTGTACACCCCCATACACTTATTGTTTCACCTAACCTCAACCTAAATCTAACCCCTCAAATGTTCTGCCGTAATGGCATCCATTTCTCGTTCTACGGTAATGATTTCTTTACAAATTTTCTTGCAAATTTAATCTATAATTTCTCTCGCTAACTTGACAGCGCCGTCCTTCCTAAAATGGCTACTCAAACACACTGCCTTATTTGTGAAAACAGCCTGCGAGGCGGAGGTGTTTGGTGCTTCACATGCCTAGGCTACATGCATGTAAAATGCAGCGGCCTAGCCCGCAGCAGTGATCACTATGACGATTTCAGTTGTCATCGCTGCACCTCCCAATTTCATTCAGCTAACGACAAGCATGAATGCAATCCCCAACCCTAGCTACAACCACGCTCCCCCAAATGCACCCTCACCCTTCCACTGCCCCACACTCACAAAACTCAGGATAGTCTTCCACTATAGAACCTAGAACAATACAAGACCCATGGTCAAACCCCTGTCCAGAACTCATAGAAACCACCAGGAAAATATACACCGAAGTGGTCCACTGGAAACCGGTTTTTATGATCTTGTCAAAAAATAAAGTTGGTTATAACTTCATTGAAACCCTCAATAGAATTTTGAACAGCCTAACTAATAGAAAACAACAAAAATACCTTCGCAATGATTTTTCCACACTTATTACTGTGCAAAACAAAGTCCGAAATTGATGGATCTTTATCCAAAACAATAGCAAGGCCACTTAAGCAATGGCAAGACGGAGACCTGGATGGACTATATAACGAAGGAAAGGCGCTGCAAATGCGCTTGTTGAAAGGAAGTAGAAGAAAAACTGAAACTGAAGCACAACATTTCAACAAACTAATGAATACTGGAAAAATATCAAGCGCAATTGCAAAACTAACAGACACATCGAAAAGGCGTTCTTTCTCTCGACGAGATTGTCAAAGGTAAGACAGTAGAACAGACTCTCATAGAGAAACACCCACCATCTAAGCCAATTGATGAGAAGTATATTACACCAGTCTCAAACGAAACAATTCCTTTCCATCCATCGATATTTGATCAGATAAACGGTCAACATATCAAGAAGGCAGCCATGAGATCGCACGGATTGCATGGACCATCTGGCCTCGATACAAATGAATGGAGACGTCTTTTAACACACTTCGGGCAACAATCAATTGAGATTTCGAAAACAATTGCTAAAATTGCCAAAAAAATTGGCCACCGAAGAACTAAATCCAGAACTAATGGAACCAAATAACGCATGCAGATTAATACCTTTAGATAAGAATTCAGGAGTAAGACCCATAGGCATAGGAGAAGTTATGCGTAGGATAATAGGGCGAAAAATAACTAAATGCTTAAAAAACGAACTCATGTCGCTCGGTTCAAACTACCAACTCTGCCTAGGACAAAAATGCGATCCACGCGCTAAGAGATCAATACATCAAAACTTCCGCCGATGCTGTTTTACTGATAGATGCCGAAAACGCTTTCAACTCGCTGAACCGAAAACTGGCATTAAAAAACATCGAAAATACCTGCACTTCCCTTTTAACAGCGATTAAGAACTCCTACTCCAATCCATCTAAACTATTCGTTAAAAAAAAACAATCTACTCTCAAGAAGGGACAACCCAGGGGGATCCACTAGCAATGGCCATGTACGATCTAGCCATAATACCCCTCATAAAACTTTTATCAGTAGAAGATGTAACCCAGAAATGGTACGCAGACGACGGAAACGCAGTCGGTAAAGTAAGCAATCTATGAACCGTCCGCGATAAAATTGTATCACTGGGTAGGTTTTTCGGCTACCACGTGAAAGCATCCAAATGCCAACTCATTGTCAAGGATGAAAAACTCGGTGAAGCTCAAAAAATCTTCGCAATTACAGGAATCACTATAAAGGCAGGAGCCCGAGTGCTTGGTTCTGTTATAGGAACAGAATCTGAATGTAAAAAGTTCCTCGAATTTCAACAGAATGAGCAAATCAAAATTTTGAAAAAACTAACGAAAAATGCTAAAACCTTCCCTCAAAACGTTTATGCCTGCTATAATAAAGGCGTGCAAGAAAAGCTTTCATTTCTTGCCAGGACAACGCCTAACACTATGGAAAACTTAAAAATAAGTGAAATTATTATCAAAGAACAATTATTACCTAATTAAGTCGGTAAAGACACTTTAAACCCCCAGTTCCGTGAGATATCTTCCTTACCCCTTAAAATGGGCGGACTTAACATCAAGCTGCCATCCGATCATGAAAACTACCTAGAATGGTCTAAGGAAACATCACTAGTACTGGAATCTCAAGATCCTATTACAGCAGTAACACAGCAAGAAAAAATATGTACGAAAATCAAAAAATTGAAAACTGATTGAAGAAATCGAAAAAAAAACAAACCTCATTAACTCCTTAAATGAAACAGATAAATACGCAATCGACCTGGCCCCTGAAAAGGGATCCTCTAACTGGCTCAATGCTCTACCACTGAGCATATACAACTTCAACCTGAATAAATCAGAGTTCAGAGCTGGTATTTACTTAAGATACGGATGGGAACCAACCAAAACCCCACTCACATGTGCATGTGGTGCTGATTTCAACTTGACACATGCGCTTCACTGTGCAAAGGAAGGTTACACACACATAAGACTCAATGAAATTAGAGACACATTCGCCAACCTCATGAACTAGGTTTGCCATAACGTCGAGATTGAGCCAAAACTTCAGCCGTTGCAAGGCGAAAGCTTTGTCAACAATGCAGCTACAACTGAAGATGAGGCACGACTTGACATCAGGGCAAACGGACTCTGGGGCTTACGATTCAGCCGCGCTTTGTTTGATGTGAAAATTTGCAACCCCCATGCCAAAACATCGCGAAAACTGCATAAGGATGCATACAAATACCACGAAACGCTGAAGAACTCCAAATATCAGCAAATAATTTTAAACGTAGAGCAGAGTAGCTTCTGCGCGCTAATTTTTGGATGCACCGGTGGCGCTGCTCCAACAGCCACGCGGACGATGCAGCGATTAGCTGAAAAACTAAATGAAGAAAGACAAGAAAGCTATCCAGAATCTATAAACTACATAAGAACTAAAATAAGTTTCGCGCTCCTGAGGAGCTCTATACTTTGTATAAGGGGGTGCAGATCGCCACGCTAAGTTCAGTTTATCGACAACTCCATAATCGCTATTGTAGAGGAAGGACGGCTAAGTTAAATTAACATTACGACGATGCATTTAATGCTGATTTATGACTTCATTGCTGATATATTATGCATTTTTATATCGCTGGTATGGCCCTATCCAGCTTTTCACTTACCGTAACTAAACGGAGGGGCCCCTTTTGTAATTTTCTTTTTATTTAAAAAAAGTACGTTCGTGCACAAGCTGGATAGGGCCCATACCAGCGTTATATAAATGATGGTATGGGCTTTTAGGTAAATCATAAAAGGGACCCTTCCGTCTAAGTACGGTCGTGCACAAGCTGGATAGGGCCCATACCAGCATTACATAAATGACGGTATGGGCTTTTAGCCTAATTGTTGTGATAAACTTATTAAATTGTTTCATATATGTGAATGTTACACCTACGCCAAATGCAGCAACAGAAACCAACGCTCACTGAAGATGAACTAGATCAGACTCACTGCAGCGTGTGTTCAAAGCATCTACGGGGCAGAGGAGTCCGGTGTAGCATATGCGGCTTTGTTCACCTCAAGCACACTCCCCTACCGAGTTCTATACACTGGAAGCCAGGCTTGATCTGCAACCGCTGCCTACCGGATTCAGTTGTCTTGGCTGATGATATCCCTCCACAGGACTTGACTCATACTGTTAGCGCGCCCGAGCACACGTCTAGTGGCCTTTCTCAACTAATGGGAGATCTCAGAATAGAGAACGTCCCTCCCGATTCCGAGGCTTGCACCTATCTCCGCAAGCTGTTCTCCACTAGAGTCCCCATACTCAAACGTGTCCCGAAAGGAGCAAGAGTCAACTTAGCCTGTCTCTATAGCGAAGTTATCATCGATATCTCCAAACACCCTTACGAAGTTTTCAATTGGCTGAAGCTTATGAGTATCCCCGCCCACTGTCTGAAGGCGACTGACAGAGGAGGGAAAAACACCGAACAAACCTCACCAGTTCAGTCAACTCAGCTAAAAGATCTTTTTCCGGCACAGCTGAGATTCCGGAGCAGCCGAAAAGAAAAGGCAAAGCCGAAAAAGGAAACAGAGAGTCTATGGAGAAGGGTACAAGAGAAAATTGATGATGGCAATATCCGAGGTTCCATATGGATAGCTTCGCGCAATGACACGATGCCTGAAATTACACCCGAAATTGTAAATGAGATGGAAGAAAAACAACCCCGGCACAAGTTCGCCTATGCTGTTCAGGGAAATGAAGAACAAGAATGAGATCACTACTGTGGGTTCTACGGTTCACTCTTGTATAAAATCTTTCCCGAACGGCTCAGCCGGTGGGCTTGATAAATTGAGGCCTCAAGTTATCAGAGACATGATTGGAATGTGTAACGAAACATCAAACAAACTGATTGAAGACCTGACCGGGCTCACAAATATCATCTTGAGCGGTGGTGTACCGATTGATATCGGACCTTTCTTTTTCGGGGCAACCTTGTTCGCACTCAAAAAACCTTCTACCGTTGTTCGGACCATAGCAGTCGGCAACAAATTTCGCAGATTGGCAGCGAAATGTGCTGGCAAAGATCACAAACAATTAAAACAAAGAAAATGTTCATATGGATCTACTCAACTGGGCTTCGGCGCCAAAAATGGATGTGAGGCGGCAGTCTATGCCACCCGCAATCTCCTATTTTCTCCCGGCATCAGCGATGAACACGTTCTAGTCAAAATTGATTTCGAAAAGGCATTCAACTCAATCTCAAGGCAACACATGCTGGAGAACATTAGCGAAAAGTAACCTCACCGGAAAAATTTTGCGTTCTCTGCCTATAGTCAACCCTCCTATCTGTTCTTTGGATCTCATATTCTGAACTCCAATGAAGGAGCTCAACAAGGAGACCCGGAGGGGCCGCCCATGTTCTGTGACACGATTATTCATTCGCTGACTTCTGCTCTTAACTTCTGGTATCTGGACGATGGGAAGCTTGCTGATAAGTTCCGGGTAGTTTTCGAGGACTTGAAACTGGTGATAGAGCGCGCTCGTATGCTTGGCCTGAAAGTTAAGCCTTCGAAATGTGAGCTAACTTTCCTAGGTCACCGAGTGAAGAGCTCAAACTCGAATTACTGCAACTATTCAACACGATCTGCCCTGCTATACGAGAGACTCCATTGGACGACCTATGCATCCTTGGTGCAGGCATGGGTGCTGAATGTATCCTTGACAAATTGACCAAACGTTCTAAAGATCTTGAGCTACTGAGCGAACGCCTGATCGAAATCGAGGCACACTCGGCGCTTTTTCTTTTGAAAAACTCGTTCAGTATACCGAAACTGACATTTCTGCTCCGCACGTCACCGTGCTTCATGCACCCCGACATACACTTCAACTATGATTCCATTCTGACCTCAACACTGGAAAAAATCAGCAATGTTCAACTTACAGATTTTTCCCGCACCCAGACCTCTCTGCCAGTTAAAATGGGTGGCCTGGGTCTGCCATCTGCGTCATTGCTTGCGACTTCCTGTTTTCTATCCTCCGCGAGCTCTTGTGCTGCTTTGTCAGACCAAATCTCCATTTGTACCGGACCAACAGGCGACAAAGAAGCTGCTAAAGAACTCTGGGGTGATACTGCACAAGCACTTCCACCAACTAATAGAAGCACCCAAAAGAATAGGACTTGGCCAGTATTCGAGAACCTAAAAACCTCGATGCTTGAGAACTAATCATTGGAAGACCACAATAGAATAGAAGCTTACTCTGGAAAGATGGCGGAAAGCTGGCTGAAGGCTCTGCCATCATCCAACTTGGGCTTGAAACTCAAAGATATCCAACTCCGCATCAGTGTGGCACTGTAGTAGAATTGACTCATTCGAGCCCCTGAAAGCAGCGACTACAGCAGAAGAGACGAAAAGAATGAAATACACTGAAATCCTCAACAGAGGCTACTTGTTTCAGCCTGTCGCATTCGAAATACAAGGAGGCGCAGGACCAGACAACCAACGTTTTCTTTCTAAGCTCAGCAAGCTGATTCAAGATTCCACCAACGAAGCCCGTGCTTCTGCCTTCCTTAGACAAATAATATCAGTTTGCATACAGATGTCTAACGCAGCATGTGTCATCGGAACTCTACGCCCGCAAGCTTCTCTCGATGAAATTTATGATCCTCTAATTCTCTGTCACCTTGTATCTCACTTTCTGCGAATTTCTTATCTTGCCATTGCAAACATCCGGCCTTTTTATCTGATAGATTTCCTATATGGTGCTCTCTTTCACTATCTTGGTTTTATGCTTCAGTTGTTGTTTTGCTATTTGAAATAATTTTTTTAAGTTTATTATATAAATACATCAAAAAACAATAATGCGGGAATCAAGTCAAGTCAGCATTCAATGCATTGTCATTAAAAGTATTTACTTCAACCGTCCCTCCTCTACAAAAGCACTAATTGAATTGTCTATGAATTGAGTCTTAAGCAGTCATCTGCACCCCCGTATACAAAGGATAGCGCTTCTGAGCAGCGCGAAGCTTATCTTAGTTCTTACAGTGAAGCCATGTAAGCATCACTGACGTTGGAAACCGAAGAGCTCAATTGACACGAAATTTCTTCTGCAAAAAAATGCGCCTGAAGAATTGCGAGTCGGATTTGTGGTTTTGGGCATGTCGTCTTGCTAATCTGTACAACGAATACTTCAAAAACAGACTTCTAGGAATGCACACAAAGTTTTTCAAAACTTGCTACAACGAATCAGATACATGCACTTGGCACATTTAATGCGAATGCAACAACTGTAGAGACCTGAAAAACTTATACTTATAACTGAAAACTAAACTTTGAACAATGCAATGACTGGGTTTTATGCGAACCATTGGATTATATTCCTAAGACTTTTGTTATTCATATTATTATTTTATAGTTGCAAAACGTTAGAACGTTGTTATTATTAAACGTTATCATTAAACGTTATTATTATTATTACGTAGTTGCGAAATTTGAAATTTACTTTTAAACAAAGATTTCTTCTATTATTATATAGTTTATCGTTCAATCATTGGAAGGCGAAAGCTTTCACTACAAAACAACCACTACTGAAGATGACGCTCGACTTGACATCAAAACAAATGGACACTGGGGAGGCCGATTCAGCCGAACCTTTTTCGATGTAAGAGTTTTCAACCCCCATGCTAAATCCTGCACTAAAAGTTTATCTGACGCCTACAAATATCTTGAAAGTCATAACATTAAAATACCAACAAAGAAGTTTGGATGTGCAACAGAGTATTTTTGTTCCATTATTTTTTGCATGTAGCGGAGGAGCAGCCCCAGGCTCTACAAAAACCGTCTAGAAACTAGCAGAGAAACTAAGCGAAAAACGGAACGAATCATACTCGGACACAAAAATCTTTATAAAAACAAAAACAAGTTTTGCACTTATGAGGAGTGCAATTCTTTGTCTTTGGGCGTGCAAAAATTTTCTAATTACATCCAACATAGACAATTCTATCTGTGCTATATTCGAGGAGGGTGGATTTCAATTAATAATTCTCTTGATGCATTAAAATCGACTTGTTTTAATCATAAAATTTTGCCGATGTATTTATATACCGTTGGGCCGGCCCTTTCCAACCTGTGCATGTGGGAAGGGCCCATTCTAATTGACCCTCTCTTTTTATTTTAAAGTTTATTGTTTCTGAGTAGCTTTCATGCCTTTTTTCACTAACTTTTTCAGCTATGCCCTGCCTTGTCCGAGTAGATGCTGGTGCGGCACCACCAGTGCAGCCAAAAATGAGCGGGCAGAAGCTGCTATGTTTGACTTGTAGAACTCTCTGTTGGTGTTTTGAGTTTTTTAGTGTATCGTGGAGGTTATAATCGTCTTTCAGTAGTCATCGTGAAAATTTTCAGTGAGGGTTGCAGACTTTGACATCAAAAAAGTTTCGACTAAACCTTGAGCCCCATAATCCGTTTACTTTTACATCTTGTCGAGCGTCTTCATCAGTTGTGGTTGAATTGTTGACAAAGCTCTCGCCTTGCAACGACTGAAGTTTTGGCTCGATTTCAACATCAAAGCAAACCTCGCTCATGAGGTTGGCAAAGGTATCTCTGATTTCGTTATCCCTCATGTGGGTGTATGTGCCATTCCGCCAGATTGGCACCGTCGAACCCTCTGTCGAGAACAAAACGGACGTTGATGACCTTAAGGATGATTTCGTGATGAAAAGCAGGGTCGGAATATTCTGGAATTTTTAAAACTTTAAATTTTCCATTTTCAACAGATTATTTCCGGGAACATAGAAGACGGCCATTTTGACTAGAAAACGAAATAAAAACACAACGAACGAGAACGTCAAACGAACAGTTCGAGAAAAAAAAAGAAAAAACGGAGTCTCTTATCGTGACGATCACGCACGATAAGACACGTAACTAA